CTCAGAATTTAAAAAAAAATTTTTTTTGCAATGTTAAGCTTTGACCTCAGAGCCTCCAACTTGGCACTTATTAGGCAAGGACTGTGCTAGAAAAATTATATTTATGATTTACATTTGGGGCTCAAATTACATTTCAGTTGGGACAGTGCTGTTCTAGACCATCAGCTCCTTGAACACTCAGAGGCCATTCCTATCTGACTCTGTATAATGTCCTTAGCACCTGATGGGAATGAAAAATAGATGTGCTAAATGCATTGTTAGTGAATGTCAAACAGATGATAATCAGGGACCCTATACCTCTGAACACTGCTGGAAATACTCTGAGAAAACTTTGTTCTCTAATCCTTCCACTTTTTAGTTCCAAGCTGTTTGTTTTCCAGTTTCAGATATCCTAATGTATCAATGGTTCCTTACTTTAAGCTCTAATTCCTTGAATGGATTGAAGTCTCCTTAACCTCTTTAGTCAGCTAATAACATTTTTTTCCTTAGGGATAAAACTCTAGATAGTCTCTTGTCAACTCCACTCATCCTTAGCCTTTCCAAAAGCACTTTTCCCAGAATCTCCTTCTCCATATGGTTCCAGGTTGGAATCTGTTGGTGAAAGGCACAAACTTGCTGCTCAAGATTAAAAGGCAAAAAAGGAGGAAACATTGTTTCCCAGAGTCAGTTTCAGGAAGATGCATGGGCAAGCAGAGGTTCACAGCTGCTTCCAGATGAACTTGTGTGTGAGACTGGAGTTTGAATTTAGGGCTTCAAGCTTGCAAAGCAGGTGCTCTATCCTTTGAGCCACACCTCCAGTGCAGTTTGCTCTGATTATTTTGGACATGGGGTCTGGAGAACTATTTTTCTGGGATGGCCTCCAAGTGAGATCCTCCTGATTTCAGCCTTCAGGTAGTTGGGATTACAGGCATGAGCCACCGGCATCCAGCTCCAGGTGAACCTCTTTTTTTTTTTTTTCTCTCCTGGGGTTTGAATTCAGGTCCTCATCCTTGCTAGCGAGTGCTCTACAGCTTGAGCCATTCCACCAACCCTTTTTTGTGTTGAATATTTCTGAGATAAGGTCTCTTGAACTATTTCTCTGGACTGACCTCAAACCTCAATCCTAATCCCTGCCTACAGAGTAGCTAGGATTGCAGGTATAAACCACTGGCACCCAGCTCCAGGTGAAATTCTTAAGAAGCTCCTATACCTGTGTTGTCATCTGAGGCAGCTGTTGTGAGGTGAACTTGCTATGAAGGTAATGAACTTCAGGGCTCTTGTCTTTCATCCACCCTTTCTAAGACTCTGGGAGTGAATGGCTCTAGCAATCATCACAATTTTACTTATTTCTTTTTTTAAAGAAAGCTGTTTATATTATGTTAGCTTTAATTAAGCATTACAAAACCTGGCTATAGCCCTGAATGATTGAGAGCTTTACAGAGATCTTGTGACTTCAGTGGCTTAAGAAGAAATCTTGAGAACCACTGGTTTTGGGGCTGGAATCTGAAATCTTTCTTCCCTGTGCACTCCCAACAGTTGTGGAAGCTTTAACTTCCCTCATACTAGAAATAGAATGGCTTTTGTTTTCATGACCAAACTAGTCACTGCTTAAAAATGATAGCTGTGAGCAGTCAGATTATGGCACCATTTTTTGGCCCATTTAATCTCAAATTTTAAAAAATGATATTATCTTCTAATAGAAACAATAGCAGCTGGTCACCAGTGGCTCACACCTATAATCCTAGCTACTCAGGAGGTAGAGATCAGGAGGATCACTGCTTGAAGCCAGCCCTGGGAAAACAGTTGCAGAGACCCTATCTTAAAAAAAAAAAAAAAAAAATCACAAAAAAGAGCTGCTGGTGGAGTGGCTCAAGGTGAGTTCAAACCCCAGTATCACAAAAAAAAAAAAAAAAAAAGAAAGAAAGAAAGAGAGAAAGAAAAATAAATGATAGCAAAATAATAATAATGATAATATACTATCACATAAAAAAAATCTTAGGGCAAGCCTCATCTTGATCAACACTGGATACTCATAATGCAGCACATGAGTATCCAATGTGGCACATACATAGTGCGTGCTTAGCCAGTATGTGAGTAAGTGCATGAGTTAATGAGTAGGTGAAGGAATAGATGAATTTACCTGCATCTGTATCCAAGCTGCTTCCTAGTTATGATTATTAAAACAATGTAGACCATGTTTGTTCTCATTAATTCTCTCTAGATTTATTTAGCAAAGTACCAAGAATTTCCAGCTGCTTTATATTTTTGGATGAAAATGCTGAGTAGTTTTGGGAGCTATTCCAACACAAATTCTAGGTAATCTCAAAATACATCTGTAATTTTTTTAGGGTCTTCCAGAGGTTAGAGACCACACCTGTTACTTAAGATTTATTTTCCAACAGTAAATATGTATTTAAAAAAAAACTTAACTGTTGAATTAGTTTGAAGAGATCAGCTCCTCTCATTTTTTTTTCTTGCAATCCAATTCTGAAAGGTAAATGGCACAGATAGTCACTCCATTGGATATGAAAGTTAATGGCCAGGCCAGGTACAGGTGGCTCACGCCTATGATCCTTGCTACTTGGAAGGCAGAGATCAGGAGGCTTGAGTTTGGAAGCCAGCCCTGGGCATATAGTCATCTAGACCCTATCTTGAAAAAAGCCATCACGAAAAAGAGCTGATAGACTGGCTTAAGCCATAAGAGTACCTGCCTACCAAGCTTGAGGATGTGAGTTCCAACTCCAGTACGGTCAAAAAAAAAAGTAAATGGTCAGACTAGATCATGCTTACAATAATTGTGAAAACATAATCTTTGAAAGTTAAGAAATAATTTAATCTTGCTTAGAATAAGACCACTATTCTTTAGTCATTCACACTTATGGAACATTACTGTATGCTTCACACTGAAATAAAATGAAAAAATGAAACAAACTTTTAACTGCAATTTTTTTTTTTTTTTTTTGGTGACTCTGGGTCCAGCCCTTTTTGTGTGTGTTGGGTTGTTTTTCTTTTTTTTTTTGTTTTTGGCAGTCTCATGGTTGCTATGCAGAAGCTTTACACTTTAGCTACTTCACCAGTCCTTTTTTCTGCTAGATATTTTTGAGATAGGGACTTTTGAACTGTTTGCCCTAGCTGGCTTTGAGCCTCTGTTCTCCTGATCTCTCCTTCTTGAGTAGCTAGGATTGCAGGTATGAGCCACCAGCACGATGCTAATTTTTAGTTTTGCAACTTTTAATTTGTTTTGATTGGCTTTTGAATTTGGGGCTTTACTACTTGAGCCATACCTCCAGTCCTGTATTTCAATTTTTTTTCCATAAGTGTGTCTTTGAAACTGCATGTAAACTTTAAAATACAGGTAAGTTACATGGAAAAGCTCAACATTCCATATTTTGCTATTTTTCCTAAGTTTTTTTTAGGCATCAGTAATATTACATGGGGGTTGCATTGTGATATATACACAGGATACTTTGAACAAGTTCACCCCCTAAGAATTTATTTTTTAATATTTGTATTTGTCATGGATGGAATAAAAATGTAAACAGACAGTGTAAATTCATATTGATAATGACTACATAGATAAGAAAATGAGTTTGGAAGAATTCGCTCTTTTTTTTTTTTCATTTTGTGAACATTTACTGTGTTCAAGCTGTGTGCTAAGTATTGTGGTAAGCAGTGGAGATGTAAAAATGAACACATGATAGCTACTTTCCTGATGTGGGGTGGACAGCCAGCCATATAACCCATAAATTCCGGGGGTGCGGGGAGAGTGTAAACAATTCGAGAGAGTAGGGAATTTTAAAAAGGAGTTTTTAGTTGAGTTGGGAATTTTTGTACTTCTGGGCTTTGAACTCAGGGTCCCATGCTTGCTAGGCAGGCACTCTACCAGTTGAGCCTCTCCACGAGTCTAAGTGTTTTCATTGAACTACACACAGGAGTCACATCAGATAATCTCATCTAATCCTAGCATCTTTGAGAAGCTCTCACAAAGGAGGAAACTAACCTTAATACATTGAATATCTGTTCCAAATTAGCTTGGTTAAAATAAAGAGCAATACTAGTGTCAGAATTGAAACCAGTGGCCAAAAAGTCTTGAGCTGCAGGAAGTCTTTGGGTACTGGTCACAGTCCCTTTGGCCACATAAATTTAACATCAATCAGAACATTCTGTAAGGGCTATGTGGGCTCTTCAAACGGAATAATGTTTATGGGATGATCTGGTTTTTTTGTATTCACATACTAGAGGCTAAGAGAGCTCAGTTGCTTAAGCTTTCACCAGCTTAGAGCAATTGGAATAGAAGGTAGATGGGCATTCATTCAGACATCTTAAAAAACATTATTAAATACATAGTAACAGCTCATCCTCTGTTGCCTTTTAATTGGTGTAAACCGAAGTTACATGAAATCTCTAAGGTCAAGATCTTAGAGTCTATTTTCTCACCTGTGGACCATAGACCAAATTATCCACAAATTGCCTGTTTCAGGATCAAGTTCCCAAACAGTCTTAATGACTTTTTATTAATCCAGTACTTCACTGCTGTACCAAGAATAGTTTTTGGTGCCTGATAAATGCTGAATGAGTACACCTAAAGCGTTTAGGAACCAGTGTTTAACAGCGAAGCGCAGCGTAATTTGGACTTCCGACTTTACCTCTCCAAGGTCAGTTTCAGGTGTGAGAGTCTTTTTTGTGTGAAGAAAACCCCTCTGCTCAGCTCCCATCAAGGGACGGTAGCGCGGGCTGCTTAGGACACACCAGGTGACAACCCAGACTCCTCTTTACCCTGCTCTCCCTTCCTCTCCAACTGGGGTGCCCGCGTTCCCGCCAGGGTGGATGCGCGGTTTGCAAAGGGCACCGGGCGCCTTTAAATGCTAATGAGCGATGCCCAAGTCAGAGCCAAGTTTCCCCACCCGCTTCCCTCGCCGGCCTGCGCGCCGCCTAGAAAAACTTGTGCGGGGCCATTTTGGGGGCAGTAAGACCGAGCGAGGAGCCCGAGAGCGAGCGCGGAGCCCGAGCTCGAGCCGCCGCCGCGAGACTCCACCCGGGCCGCCGCCTTCGCCCGCGCCGCGTGATCCGCACCGGCCTCCGAAAGCCGCAATCCCAGCCGCACCAACCGCCGCCAACCGCCACCGAGGTGCCCGAGGGAGAGCACAGGAGGCGGCATGAGCGAGGCGGGCGAGGCCACCACCACCATCACCACCTCCGTCCCGCAGGCTCCGGCGGAGGCGGCCGCCGCGGCGCCCCAGGACCCCGCGCCCAAGAGCCCAGCGGGCAGCAGCGCGCCCCAGGCCGCGGCGCCCGCCGCCCTGGTGGCTGGGAACCCCAGCGGGGACGCGGCCCCCTCAGCCACTGGCACCGCGGCTCCGGCCTCTTCAGCCACCGCCAGCAGCGAAGACGCGGAGAAAAAAGTTCTTGGTGAGTCTCAGGCCCGCCAGAGGTCCTGGCTGCTCCAAGCTGGGCCGCTAAGCACGTGTGGGCAGCGGCCATCGGGGCTGAGAAGCTGGTATCGTGGGTTCCCGGGGGCTCCTGGCCCTTCTGTTCCCTCCCCGAACCCTGCGCGAGTCGCTCCTGTCCTCCCGTCCGCGCAGGCGGGTCCCAGGTGAGCGCTCTGCGCTCCTCGGCACACTCAAGCGCCTCCCTCTGTGTCCCCGGGCCAGCAAGTTGAGGGTCTTAACTTTTGTCATCTAGACACACATTCCCATAGGGGAGATTGTCTCGGTCCGAAGGGGAAAGGGGAGGCCGAGTGGGAGAAGGTACCCGGGGGAGGGATGGATGTGGATGTAAGGGAGGGACGGACACGTGGGCCCGCGCCTTTGGAGTGCTGGCTTAGGCGCTGAGAAGGCAGAGCCTTTCCTTGCAGGAAGAATAAGGCCCTGGAAGAGTTGGGGAGGGTTTAAGTGGAAACACTTTTTGCCCGGGAGGCTCAGGTGTCTGTCCCTGACGCCCTTCCACATGGGCTTGGGAAAGACGCCATGCTTCTGTCGGCCACATGCCGGCAAAGAGGTGTTGCAATCAATCCTCCTTGGGAAACTTGGGTCTTGGTCTCGGGTCCTCCTCCCCCTCTCGATGCCTACGATGCAAAGAGCCATTCAGTGTCCACCAATCGCTGCACAATTTTCCCTTCCTGGACTGTGGGAACGCACGTGGTGCAGCAGCTGAGAAAACTTGGTCGGAAGTGGAGTATGACGTTTGTTCAAAACACAGTTACCTTGGGACTCTGTAACTTAGGAAGGGAAACAGGAAGATGAGAAGTTGAGGCTTAGGGGGCAGAGGATTAGAATGGGTTTCTGTACTGGTTGTTGGTTTTGTCACATATTTTAGTGTTCTCATCTTCCTTAAGTAACGCCCTGTGTGAGGCCTGATACAGACTTGCAAAGCAGGTGGGTGTTGAGTAACTCCCTAAAGGGCGTGTGCGCATATCATTCACTCTTTCAAACTCGAAAGTTAACAGATGGTGTAGAATACTTAGGAAATTTTCACTGTTTTGGGTGGGGCGTGTTGGTTCTGACATCCCTGAGCCTTGCCTCCCCATTAGCAAGAAATGCACAGGAAATATAACACCATTCAATGTTCCCTACCTTGAGAAGCCTTTTTTTTTTTTTTTTTAATCTCTTCCAAGACCTGTAATTCAGATCCTGCCAAACAACGTGCTAAAGTGTAACCTGTTTGGGTAAAGAAACGAAATACAACTTTTTTTTTGCTGGAATAAAAGTTACTTAAATCTGGTAAATATTGTTCTTGTGATACTGTTTCCACCAAATGTTTCTTGGAACAGTTCCATGCAAAATGTGTGCGTTACCCAAAACAGTGTTAAAACGAGTTATTTTTCAGCAGAGGAACACTTGTATTTTTTCACTTGATCCTTGTATCCTTCTGAGATAAGGAAAGCAGATATTATTTTTAAAGATTAAGGAAGTTGATACGTGAAGGTTGATTTTCTCAATCACCAACTGCTATTGTGTTTCAGTCAGATTCCCAGTGATGGGGCTTGTGTCTTTAATCTTTCCACTCTTAAATCCAAAGTCCAGACTCTCTCAAAATGAAGACAGCTTTCCACATGACACCTCAACACTGTGTCTCTGTCCAGTGTGATCTACTGTCCTTTGCCAGGCAAACACATGGATGCCTAAAATGTGCTAGACACAGTGCTCACTGAAATGGATATCTGTTCTTGGATTCTCTCATTCTAGGTTTTGCAAACAGGCCTTCAGTTTATAGCACATCAGCCAGTTCTCTGTGTAGTTTTAATGAGTGAAATAAATCTTTGTTTTTAATGAACTAACTGTGGTCTTCTTCTGTCTCTCCTGTCCCCATTGTGTATTTGAAGTGGGCTTATGGTTCTAAAACAAGTATGAATAAATTTTTTTGGCTATATGAAGTCCTTGAAAATATTTTTGAAATTAGGAAATTTTTTTAAAAAGCTGCATTGGGGAGTAAAATAACCTTCAACTTGTGTAGCAGTTACACTTGAATCACCTTTTCCCACTATTATTAGTGTTTCTAGTTAGGATTGTTCTTTCACCATGGTAGGCATTGAAAACATTTCCACATTTATATCTTCCTAGGTCGTTAACTTTTGGACAAATGAGAAACATACCATTTGAAGTCATATTTGAGTTAAATGTATATAGTTTATATAATTTCTCAAAAACTGGCTTCTTCTGTGTACATTTGCATTTGAAACAATTTTTCTTTTGTCCTGCTGCTGTAATGAGCATGGCCTCAAAGTAAAGATTCTTGGTGGCTTGATCTCCAAAGAGAACTATTTCAGTTTGGAGCTGGAGAATGTTAATACTTAGTCAGTGTGGGCTAAATGACCTTGGGGAGGTTTCTTTCATTTTCAAATAAAGCTAAAATATTTCTCTAAGCATATCAGTCTAGCAAAACTCAGAACTGATACTGCCCACAACAGAGCAAGTCCCAAGTAGTATTTTAGTTTTGAATTTGAAAATGAAAAAGGAAGCCTTATTGTTTACCCCTGGAAGTTAGAACTTTGTATTTCATGGACAATATGGACTTGTTACTTCAATGTCTACTAAGCTTTTTTAAGAGTGTACTTTCTTGGGGTTGAGGATATGGCTCAAGTGATAGAGGCTCCCCCCACAAAAAAAATCAGTTTCATTGAGTCTTGATAATTGCCTTATATAAGCATTTCCTGCATATAGACATAGGCATTTCCTGGAAGCACTAAAGTTGACTTTCATAATTAAGGGTCATAATTGAATTAAAGTAAATATGTATCTATAATGTACAAGGTGCTTGAAGTTACAATTTGTTTAGATTCTTTCCCTTAAAGAATTCCACTAAAATTTTGCATTTCTGTCTGCTTCTGATAGAAGGTAGAGGCAATAATCAAGTTAGAGGGGGATTTTGGGCTGGGGTGTATCTCAGGTGGTACAGTGCCTGCCAGGCCTTGGATTCAAACCCCAGTGCTGCCAACAGAAGGGGTGGGGGAATTTTATAGCAAATGCCAATTTGATTCCCACCAACTGAAGACAGGGTAAACAAACAGAGGCCTAAATTCATCACTGTGGTTTACAAAGGCCTGTTACATCATGTCTCAGGGTGGTAAGCACAGAACTACATGGAGACAGCGTCAGTTCTCTTACTCTTCACTCCTGATAGACCCCCATTTGGCAATTAGACAAGTTACTTGATGTCTTTGTAGATTGGTGGTTAACAAGGAGCTACAGTGTTTCTTATTAAAATTCGTCTAATATTTAAAAGCATGGGGATGATGAGTTAAGATTGTCCATCTGTCCTCTTTCATTTTGGACCCTTTTTTGCACTTAAGAAATTTTTGTAGGTTAATACTTGGAATGTTAACTTTTTTGGTTTTTTTTCTTTGATGGTATTGGGGATTGAACTCAGGGCCTAGTGCTTGCCAGGCAGGCACTCTACCTCTTGAGCCACACTACTAGCCCTGCAATGTGAATCTTACCTGGCACTTTTTCTCTCAGTAGTATTTTATCAGTTTTAATTATAGCAGAATTTTATAGGATTACGACCACTTCTTATATTACAACTTCAATGAAAGTTTAACAAGGAGGAAAAGTTTGCCTTGTGAAAAGTTCTGAAAAGTGTCTCCTTTTATTGTGACTTGCTCCATTTTCTTTTCCTAATTTATTTTGGAATGGTTTATTCAAATTTGTGTAGGCTTTGTATAGTATTATCAAGACCTTAGTGATATGAGCTTTATCTCTTTGTAGGTCAGATGCTAATTTATCTGCTTAATCCCATTTTAGCCACCAAAGTCCTTGGCACTGTCAAATGGTTCAACGTCAGAAATGGATATGGATTTATAAATCGGTATGTGTGTGTATAACTCCGTGTTTTAAGTTTATTCTTATGTTGTGCCATACTTTATTAATGGGTTGTTTAAACTTGAAGATTTCTGAGCATTAACAACTCTCATTTCTCAGTTACTGATCACTAAATACTAATTTAAGTACATTTCTTATACACTAATAAATATTGGTTTCATATAATCTAACTGCTAAAAGAGAAAAGGGAGGGAGATACAAGTACAATCAGAAATGGGAAGAACGTCAGGGTAGAGCCCATACCCATAACTTCTAAGATGGAGAAATGAAGTCTTGGACTGGTTAAGAAATTCCCAAAGTCATGCCCTAGTGAGTAATTGAGTTGGATCTGTAACCCTAGTCTGGTCCAAGCTCTGAGAGGAAACTAGTGTTTCTTTTCACCTGTGGTTAACTTCTAACCCTATAGGAACTAGGACAATTACAAGCTGTTGGGAGACTTTTTTTTTTAACTGGAGGTGGTTGAAGATTTCTCTGCTTTCCCCCTTTCTGAAACAAATTCCTCCAGTTTCTTCCTTGTCTGTTTTGGTGGAGTGGGGGGGGGCGGTGTGAAGGGTTAGGGTGGGGTTGGTGGGAGGGCTGTTTTAAGTTTCAGTGTAAGGAGAGCCTAGTTCACAGCTGTGCCCTGTCCTTTTAACTGTCTTGCTTTGCTTTTGCTGGGAGGAAAATCAAGGGCTCTGATTACATACCACGTGATTTATAAAGAGTTGAGAGGAAAGGGATGTTTCTGTATGTTGAATCCTATGTTTGGATCTCAGCTCTGGTAGTGTGGAGTAAGACGGTATCTTACAGAGTCAGAAATTTTTAATGAGGATTGATTCTAGGTGTCTGGGTTTAGAGGATAAACAGAAATGTATGTTGTCTTATTTTTTATCTGATTTTTTTTTAAAGTTTCTGCACATATTCAGTACTTTTAATTATTTGTCTCCCAATAGAAATGACACCAAAGAAGATGTATTTGTGCATCAGGTAAGAGGATCATAAATGTTAAGTTTGCCATATGAGGATGATGTCTAAATTGCTATTGTTCTTTTCCCCAAAGTAAGTCCTATAAATTATTGTACTTTGAACTCTTCTGTGGTTTATTTTGGGATGAGAGTTCAGTTGTACATTTTTAAGATTGACAGATAAGCTTTACTACCCCATCATGAAGCGTTTTCAGTTTTATTTTTGCAGTTGGATGAAGTAATATTCAGTTAAAGCACTTTCTGATTTTAAAGCTTATGAGCCTATATTATTTTGCTTTTGCCTGGGTGGGTACAGGTCAAAGTTCTTCTGACTTGAAGTTAACAGAACAGGGAAGCGGATGGTCAGGGTGTGTATATGTCCCAGACATGAGAACACTCCATTTCCCAGGAGAGTGAGTCCTCCCTCCTCTTTCTTGACTGGGGCATGCTTAACACATGTCCAGGTCAAAAGACCCACCTTCCCTTACATTCAAAGGAAATACAGAAGATGGCAAAGATATGGAAAAGATGGGCTTCCCTGCTACAAATGGCTCAGTCACTCTCTATATTATTAGCTGAGGATGTTATTTTTGTATTATGTGTCCTGATTGCTTTCTTTATGGAAGAAATAATGGAAGTTATAGCCATCCTTGCTGTGCTTTGTACACATTTACTTTGCATTGAGTAGTCTGCCATAGGTGCGTCTTTGCAGTGAATGAAAATGCCAGCGCATTTACCTCCAGAGCTTTCCTCCTCGTGGTTTCTGTGTTTTTTTCTTTTTTGTTTAGATTTGTGTATGTGTTGGGGTAGAGTTTGACAGTTGGAGGCAGTGATGTCTAAAAAGCTCTCTGTATTTTTTCCATCCTCTATATTTCTGCTTGGCTGGATACATTTCCATTGTACACAGATAACTGGAGTTGATACAGAGACTTTTGAAGTTATAATAGACTGAAAAGGAAGTGCTGCTTGTAATAGCTGGAGGTTAGTAGAACTTTGGCAACTGAGTATTAAAGGAGTTTCTGTGCCGGTGGCCTGTGTGTTAGCCTGTGAGTGTATGACCTGATTCCAGCCCCCTGAGGTTGTGTGGTGAGTCACCTCAGTGTGTTGAGGCCTGCCCAGTTTAACAGGAAAAAGGGAACAAGCTGGCAGGGAGGGGCTGTTTTTGGAATGGCTGAATGTTCATGCTGCGTGTGCATATATCCTGTCCTGAGCTGCCTTTTTCCTCTGTGGTGTGGGCGAAGTCTGCCCTACTGGCTCACTGTTGTTTTTTTTTTTTTTTTCCCCACTTCTCCCTTAACTCAAGAGTAGGAGAAGGGCTGGATTACACATGCCTAATCCTTTTATAAAGTAAGGTTGACCTAATTCTGAGGAAACTCCAGTTCCTTTAACTGTTTAGAGATACCAGCCAAACAAATGAATATTTGTTGCAAGGATTATACTTTCTTTCTTAATTGAAAAAGAGAGAGACTTTTTCCTAAGCAAATTTTGGGTGGAGGTGCTTAATGCATTTTGGTGTTTCATTAGCCTTTTAATGTCTTAGGAGGGAACCTATTGGGATTAGTTGGCATATGAATGATGTGATAGAGAAAATAGTGAATAAAATCTTACAGATATACAATAGGAATCTGAATTTTCTCTCTTTATCTCCTCCCCACAGTGGGCCTATAGTATCCCTGTGAATTCAGGTAAATTGCTTTATGTTAGCCTCACATTTCCTCATCCACAAAGTGGGATGCTTGGGAATAGGCCATATCTTCACTAATATATTTTGATTACTGAAGTAATTTTGTTTATTCTGTCAAATATTTATGCCTTTAGCGTTTTTGTTCTTTTTATCTGTTTTTTTTAATTATACCACCCTTTCACATTTTAAAAATAAGCTTTGCCGTTTTTCTTGTCTATAAAACCACTGTACCTAAAATGTGTACTTGTGTTTCTGAAAAATGAGGCATTTTTCATCCTTGCTAAGGGAGCTGCAGTCAGAATCCCAGGAGCCTAACAATATCCTGACCTAAGTGATGAGGGTGTAACTGAAGTCTGTAGTAACAATGAATTTCTCTTTAATCCATTTACCAGGATGACTTAAAAAAAATACATTTATTCATATGTGTGTACATTGTTTGGTACATCTCTCTCCCACCATCCCTAACCTCCCTGCCCTCTTCTATACTTTTGTTTAAGAGAAAACATAAGAGATTATAAGAAAGACATAGTATTTTTTGCTAGCTTGAGATAAATATAGCTATGCAGAGAGATTACTAGCATTGCTTGCATGCACATGTGTATTACAACCCAAACTGGTTCATCTCTACCAGACCCTTTCACTACTTCCCAGTCACCTTCCAATAGTGGCCTCTGCCAATTTAAGGTTACTGTATTCACTCTTCTAAAGTGAGCACATCAACCACAGTCAAGCTTTAGATTTCCTTCCCTTTCCCTATTCCTCCTGTAGTTGTTCTCCCCTTAGTGTGTGACCCATGTCCAATAACATTACTGCATTTGCTTTAGGTCTATGGTCCGCATATGAGGGAGAACATATGATTTTTGGCCTTCTGAGCCTGGCTAACTTCACTTAAGATGTGTTCTCCAGTTCTGTCCATTTACTTGTGAATGACAAAATTTCCTTCTTCTTTGTGGCTGAGTAAAATTTCACTGTGTATAAATACCACATTTTCTTAATACATTTGTAGGTAGTGGGGCATCTTGGCTGTTTCCATAACTTGGCTATTGTGAATAGTGCTGCAATAAACAGGAGTGTGCAGGTGCCTCTGGAGTAACCTGAGTTGCATTCCTTTGGGTATATCACTAGGAATGGTATTGCTGGATCATACGACAGATCTAAATTTAGTTTTTTAAGAAGCCTCCATATTGTTCTCCAAAGTGGTTGCACTAGCTTGCGTTCCCACCAGCAGTGATTGAGGGTTCCTTTTTCCCCACATCCTTGCCAATGTTTGTCATTGTTGGTGTTTTTAATGATAGCTATTCTAACAGGAGTGAAGTGGAATCTTAGTATGTTTTTTGTTGTTGTTCATATGTGCATATATTATTTGGGCCATTTCTCCCTCCTGTCCCCTGCCCCTCTTAGTGTGGTTTTGATTTGCATTTCCAGGATAACTTTTGAAGAATAGCACAAACCAGGAAAGCAATGTGGCCAGTAGTTTTACAGTATTTTTTATTTGTTCTTTTGGAGATCCAGTTAGTGGGAAAATATTGCTTAAAAAATAATAGATGGACAACTTCTTCACGTTAACTCTAGTAAACTTGAAAGTGATGAAATGGCTTCAGTATAGGCCAGTATTGAAATATATCTCAAAAAGAATTTTCTGTTTTCTCTACAGACTGCCATCAAGAAAAATAATCCACGGAAATACCTGCGCAGTGTAGGAGATGGAGAAACTGTAGAGTTTGATGTGGTTGAAGGAGAAAAGGTAGGAATTGTGGTTCGGTGAGAGTGGGCCGGCACATAATTTTGTTACATATTTTTTTAGGCTCCCCCCACCCATAAATTAACATTATTTTGGATTTTCTGTAGGACGGGAGGGAAGTGACTATAAAGTAGAAATATTTTTGATTATTGAATCCCATTATGAACACTTTAATATTTTATTTTATTTTTTTATTTATATTCGTTTATTCATATGTGCATACATTGTAAATATTTTAAATAAGACTTTTTTTGGTGGTGTTGGTTTGACTCAGGGCCTTGGGCTCAACTACTTGAGCCATGCCTATAGCCCAAGACATTTTCTCGTTTAATAAAGGAAGTGTAATTCGGGTATTGGGTGGCTCACGGCTGTAATCCTAGCTACTCGGGAGGCAGAGATCAGGAGGATCACAGTTTGAAGCCAATCCTGGGTAAATAGTTCACTGAGACTCTATCTAAAAAGTATTCAACACACAAAAGGGTTGGCAGAGTGGCTCAAGTGGGAGAATGCCTGCCTACCAACTGTGAAGCCCTGAGTTTAAGCACCAATACTACAAAGAAAAAATAAAATAAAATAAAGTAAATAATAAAGAAGGAACTGTAATTATGGAAGAGCTGCTAATTTCAAAATTTAAGAAGTCCTCTTCCCATTTTGGGCCCAAATATTAAAATGTAACTGTTTTTATAGCATTAAAAATAGACAAAAGCGGCTTTGGGGCAAAAGACTTTTTTCTTTTCTTTTTCTGGACATTTCCAGACAGTATCACGGTAGTCCAGGCCTTGCTTGAACTTGTGGAGCCTCCTGTCTCTAATGCTGGGATTACAGGTGTACTCCACCATGCCAGGCTTCAAAAGACTTCTTCTTGTACAAATAAAGTTTCTGCCAGGCGTGGTAGCACATGTCTGTAGTCCCAGCACTTGGGAGACTGTGTCAAGAGATCTCTACTTCAAGGCCAGCCTGAGCTACATAGCAAGAACCTGACTCAAAAGAACAACAACAAAAATGAATCAAGTTTTCACTCTGCAGCTAATTAAGCTGATGCGTTCCTTTACTCGTGGGGGCACAGAGTGCAGTGGCTGCAAACAGCAGCCTCCTTGGTAGTGTATGCAGCCTTTTGCTTGTATGGGTTGTCCTAAGGGACCTTGAAGACAGCTTTCCAGTGGCCGTTTCATGTCTCTGATCTCATGTTCTCCCCAGTCTAGGCTTCAGACAGGTATGCGGGGTATGTTTAGGAAGCCCCGGGACACAGTGACCATAAGTGGTTCACATTTATCAGATCATGTCTATCTACCAAGCTGCAGAACAAAGAACATATGATTGAGACCTTGCACAAGGCCAAGTTCAAGTTCCCTAGCTACCAGCAAACCCATGTTTCAAATAAGTGGGGCTTTACCAAGTTTAATGTGGATGAATTTGAAGACATGGTTGCTGGGAAGTGGCTCTTCTAGTGAATGTGGGGTCAAATGTAACTCCAGTTGTGGTTCCCTAGACCACAACAAGTGCAGGCCCTGCCCTTGTATGTCCTGTGTGCACCCCACCTTTATCACACTCAACAATAAATGCCACATCCTGTCCCCCCTACCCCCAAGAAATAAAGTTTTCAAAATGATTTATAAGCACTTCTGCTTACTAATGATATGGTGAAGAATATTTAGTTTCAATAAAAGAAGATTTAAGTTCGATATAATCAACTTCCTCTCTTGGGCTTGGGTTTTGGAAAGTGGAAGGTAGCTGGATAGATTTTCAGCTTTGTTCAGAGGAGTTCGACTCAGGAAGCTCATTGATGGTCTTGAAGGATGTCTACTGAGTTTTTTAATGTATTAATTACAATATTACTTATATATTTAATTACAGTATTGCTAACGTTCTTTTTTATTTCAATCAATAGCCTATTACAGATATTAATACAATAGTATAGACTAGAATCAAAACCATCTAAGCATGGTACAAATGCTGTGACAGGTAATCATGGCAGCCAAGTTATAAACTAATTTGAGAATGACTTCTTAGCTCCCATGCATTTGCTTTCTCTGTATGTGCACAATATTCTAGTCCTTATTCTTATGGATCTCAAACTGCTTTAAGAGAAAAATACTCATTTCATTTGATGTGGAAATTTAGTGGTTGCCCTTACCAACACGATTGCCAGGGTGTCTTGAAAATCTCTTGGAGTTTGGAATCACTTTAGTCAGCTCCTAAGACTGTGTTTTGCCAGATTGGTTTTACTTCTGTGAGCTTTCAGAACTTGAGGTTTTCTAAATTGATGGAGGTGTGGTATATACTCTGTGAACTCCCTTTGTCTCAGTTTGTTTTATATTTTTAAAAGATTATTTTATCCTTTAGTCCCTATGAGAATAAGAACTCTTAAGTCTGTATCAAGGGGAACAGGAACGTCTAAAGAAGGCCCAGATGGGAGAAGTTTCATTCTCAATAGTACAGTGCTGGACAGAGTTATGGAGACACATAAGTAGGGATTCCCTTGCTATAACAATAGGGTCACATAGGTTGAGCATATTCAAGGGGGATTAACAGTATCTCAGCTCTTACCCATTGACGAATATTCTTCCTAGTCTCACATTACTTCTACTGTTTTATTTACTAGTTTGTGTTCTTTAAAGAGGTACCTACAACTCTTGAACTTGGAAAGCCAGACAAGAAAGCAAAGCTTAGTAAATCAGAACATTAACACCTTGCTAAAACTTGAGCCTGTTTCTGAGATCACTAAAGGAAGTCTTAGTATGCCTTGCCAGTTTTATTCTTTAGCTGTTCAAGGCTATATTTTGAAGGGTGTTACTTTAATTTCTTTATAATTTGAAGATTGTCTGTGTCTGTTTCTTTCCCAGGGTGCTGAAGCAGCTAATGTGACGGGCCCGGATGGAGTTCCTGTAGAAGGGAGTCGTTATGCTGCAGATCGGCGCCGTTACAGACGTGGCTATTATGGCAGACGCCGTGGACCTCCTCGTAATGTATGTCGCCTCTGTATCTGATCAGTAATTGGAAACTTTTTCATGTATAAGTACATGTGTGTTCTTGGAGCAGAAAATTTTCAAATCTGCAGATGCCATAGGCAGGGCAAGTGATTTTTTTTTTTTTTTTGTGGGGGTGGGGGGAGTATAGGGAAATTTTAGTGCCCAGAATTGAGACACTGGCCTCATTGAAAACTTGCCAGTTGGAAGTTGTATCAGTTAGGAAATTTGCTGGAAGTAACAGACATAAGAAAATCATCTTGGTTTGGATGGCAAGAAAGAATAGGGAGTAGCTTGAGAAAAGACAATATAGGTGCTGGCCACAGAACTATTAAATGATGTCTCTCAATTGAGTAGCTATTTCATTTAGCACAGCATTTTGATATTATTTCAAAGTAAAGAAGCATTGAGTAATTCTAGATTTTTAGTTTTATAGATTGGTTTGTATAGGTAAAAGAGTTTTTAAGCAAATCTGGCTGGACTTTTTCTTAAGAGATTCAATTTAAAGGGGTATTTTCAAGCTATACATAATGACTTCAGTTTTGTGGTCATGAGAGCCTTATTTGTTAAATTAAGAAAAGTAAGATAAAATTGTGTTGATTTCTGATGTTTTTAGAATTGGAAGCAGGGCTTAGCACCATAGAATAAAACTTTTATGTTTTGTCAGCACAGATGGTAGCTACCTGTATAATGTAAAGAAAAGCTTCTGAAAAATCTAGCAGAATAAAATACCTGCTGATTGAGACACATTTATCTCTATTTTGATAGATGTATAACTTCCACCTTACCTAAATACTTCTATTCTGTCAATTTCACATCCTGCTCAAATTGGTTTTATCATATTTCTTGGGACATCCCATTTGTTTCTGTTTTTGTTGCCCTCATTTCATTCTGTTGATTTTTTATAGTAAGCCATGAGGGGTAGGGGTAGTGATGAGGAACTGTAGCAATATACTACAGTCCACGAACTCTTTCAGGCTCATTACAGAGCTCTAATTTGACTTCTTGGTCAATTCAAATCTAAAAGTGGTAGAAAAGTCTTCAGTGACAAATTTTCCTTAAAGATTTCTCCCTCACAAATAAGAAAAGACATTTAGAAAAAAATTTTTTTTCAAAAACTGTTGACAGGTATAAGTGCGTGTATGCTTTCTATTGTAATACTAAGTTCTCAAAGCTTATTGACTTTCTCTCAAAAGAGTATGGTGGTGCCATTATAATTGTCTTGTCAAGTGGGTTTTTTTTTTTTTGATGGGACTAGGTTTGAACTCAGGGCTTTACACTTGCAAAGCAGGTGTTCTACTGCTTGCACCACACCTCCAGTACATTTTATTCTGATTATTTTGGAGATTGGGAGTCTCTCAAACTATTTCCCTGGGCTGGTCTGATATTGGGAGGATATCAGGCCTCCCAAGTAGCTAAGATTGCAGGGGTAAACCACCAGTGCCTAGCATCCTGTTAGTTTTTAATTTATTCATTTTTAAAAACTATGTCTGCTTTTTATAAAGATTGTCTTTGTAATTTACATGTTCTTTAAAGTGAGATTGAAGTCACAAATTCTTTGAGGGGTATTGGGTTGTTAAATTTATTAAAATATTAAATGGTCATGTGAAGTAGTAATATATATGAAAAATCCCAAAAGGAATCAAATTCCCTTTGTTGTTAATGTCTATGTTTAGAAATGATTAGTATTAGGACTTACTACTATTTTTTTTGGTGGGGGGAAGGTGGAGGAACAGTTCTGGGGTTTGAAATCAGGGCCTCAATCTTGCTAGGCAGTCACTCTACCCAAATGAGCCACTCCACCAGCCCTGCTTTTGTATTGGGTATTTTTGAGATAGGGTTTCTTGAACAATTTGCCAGGATTGGCTTTGAACAGTAGTCCTTCTGATTTCTGTCTCCCGAGTAGCTAGGATATAGGCGTGAGCTACCAGCACCCAGCTGGGACTTACTACTAATAGTAGCACAGTTATTTCTAAACATATGAAATGTAAGAATCATGCAAGAGGGTCATTGGTTCTCAAACTTTTCAGCTTTTGGATCCATTGGATTACTGAGGAACCCCAGAATTGTCTTTATGTCTATTACTATGTGTTTTATTAGAAATTTACTCATTACTCACTGATACAAATAGCATCTTAATGAAAAATATTATTTAAATTGAGTGAGATGAGCGGCACTGCTTTCTCTTTCACATTTTTCTTTGATGCATAGTTTCAGAGAAGATAGCTGGATTCTTATCTCTATTTTTGCATGTAGTGTATGGGAGACTTTATGTCACTGTATACCTTAGAAGAACCCACTCTGCACTCCAGAGAGATGAATTTAAAAAGGGCAAATAGCATCTTAGTTGCATTATGAAAGTACTTTGAGGACACTCTCCCTTCCCCACAGAGGGCTTCAGAGACCAAGACCCCCCCTTTTTTTTTCCCTTGTTAATGGCCTGGCTTTGCCCCAATGGGTAATATTGGAAGACCCACATTTGAGGGAACTAAATACAAATGTAGATGTCCTTTGGGTTAGTCGACTGATACTCACCAGTTCTAATTAGTTGACTATTAAATTTGTTGCTGATTGGTCGCTCTTGCTTTTCTGCTTCTTGGTATTTTATCTGCATATATCTGTTTTACTCTCAGTGTAGTTTTATCCCAGGTAATCACTTGATCATCTGGGCTACTTGCAGTGGGTCTGTGTAATAAAAGGGATTGTTGCTCTGGGAGTTTTTTATTTTGTTTTTCTTTTGGTGATATTCATCCTATGTGGTATTCTTTGGTTCCTCCCTTGCTGAAACTTCCTCTGAATCTCTGTTTCTTTGCTTCGCTAGTACGCTGGGGAGGAGGAGGAGGAAGGGAGCGGCAGCAGTGAAGGATTTGACCCCCCTGCCACTGACGGGCAGTTCTCTGGGGCCCGGAATCAGCTGCGCCGCCCCCAGTACCGCCCTCAGTACCGGCAGCGGCGGTTCCCGCCTTACCACGTGGGACAGACCTTTGACCGCCGCTCACGGGTCTTTCCCCATCCCAACAGAATGCAGGTAAAATTGCACCTGGGACTTCTCCTCAGCAGCCCTCACCCCTCCATCCTTCTCTGCCTCTTCCTCCTCTTCCTCCTCCTCCAACTCCAGCTGCCGGAAATAACACCTTGCTTGTGGCTTCCCTATGCTGCAAATGCTGAGGCAAGGCCTGCAGTGTTTCACTTTAAAGCAGTTGTTCCAGAAACATTTCTAAAAGCACAGCCACATGAATCAAACCCATAATAGGGGAACCTGGTGGGTAGGAGAGTATTTCTATTTTATAGGCGAATAAGACAAATTAGAGATAGATGGTGTGTATAAGAGCTTGCACTCTGAAGTCAGACAAGGCCTGGACTTCAGTCCTGTCTCTGTTACTGCTCCTTATTGTCTGTGAAGTTGTGAAAAAAACAAAACATGTTTGAGATTGAGTTGTTCATCTATTAAATGGATGAGCATACACCAAAAGGTTATGATTATCAAATTGAATATAAAGGGTATTCTATAATACCTGTAACAGAAAACAAAGTACCAAATTAAATGAGATGGTGCTGATTTTTGCTAAGAAGACTAATAGAATGGAGATTGTTGGTTGTTGAGTCTTCCTTAATGGCAAAAAATTATTAGTAGAGCAAGCTGTGGGTTTGTCATGTTATTAACAAGCCTTACACCAACTCTGCAGTACCCAGGAAACTTGGAAAACGAGCAAGAGGTCCTCATTTTTCACCACTAACTACAACATTTTCCTCCTTAGTGTCCTTGGGTTTTTTCCTACCCCCACCCCCACGAAATGTTTTGACTGAACATAATGTTCAGTCTGTTCATTGCTACACTTCTTCTGTCCCATCATGCATGACTGTGTACTTTCTGCATTGCTTCTTGTTTTTTTTCTCTTCTACTCTTCAACAGCTGCCCTTGACAAATGTGCTAAAAATAACAAGTAGACTTACATATATGGAGACATTGGGTACATGAGGCATAGTAGGTTTCTTTAGGGCAGGCAGCACTCTCAGCTTCTAGGAAATTAGCACAGGAAAAGTCAGTAGGATTGTAATGCACATTTTCTGTTTAGTGCCTTAGCAATATCTTCCTTTGATAATCATTTAGCTTGCAGATATCATATTTTCTGAAAGAGTAGTGATCCTCTTTGGTATCGTTTTAAAAATGAGTGTATTTGACCTTATGAAATGAAGGTTCAGAGCAAAGTGGTTTCTTGGTGCCATGTAGAAATTACCTGAGAGCTTGCTCAGATTGCACATATGTATATATTCTCATCACCTAACCACATGTGATTGCTTTTGATACAGGCTGATCTTCTTAGCCTTGTTATGTTGGAAATAAAACTTAGATCTCTTCAACAATTTTGCCTTAGAGTAAAAACTTAGATCTCTTCAACAATTTTGCCTTAGAGTCCTTCTAATACATACTACGGTGTCGGAGTGTTTGGTCTCCTCCAGCCAAATCAACTGCGAAAAATGAAAATTCCTTAGAGAGTTTCTTCCATGTAACTAGGCTGCTTCAAGGTTGTCAGTGTGATATCTTCGAAAAGTGTAGGTAGATCTCTAGGATGGTTAAAAACTATAAAGATCAAATATCCAACAAAGTGAAATTTACTGGATGTAGTGGGCCGGGGTTGGGGTGGGGGGTGTGAGGGTATCAGGCCAGTGATGTTTGTGTTATGCGTAATGACAAAATAGCATGATCTACCATTAACCTCATGATTTTCATTTTTAAAGACAATAGTTACACATATTTGAAAATTAAGTAGCGTTTGTCACTGAGTGAATACCATTTATAGTCTTTGAGAAAAGAATTACATGGTAGAAAGAGGGAACATTGTTTGCCATCTACTAAGTGACAGTGTTTGAAACCAGTTCTTATTCTGTCCTCTCTACAGCCTGTGACATTAGCAGTGGTTTTCCATATTTTTGTTGTTTGTAAAAGGTAGCAACTTTTATCTATGATGGTATGGGCAAGAAGTGATAGAGCTTGATTTAAATTCTGTCACATTTTCCTCTTCTAGGTAGATTCTCATACTTTATACATGGTAATTGCTGTTTCTTTCAGTCTTTACATAAATCACAGTATCTGAGAAAGAACAGGCCTAGCTAAAGGTAGACTCATGTAGTAGGAAGTGTGTGAGTACAGAGGAAATGGAGTGGAGGGGAGGGCTGGGGTGAGGTCTTGGGGAGTCAGGCATACCTGTAAAGTGCAGTGAAGACCTTTGCCTTGCTCTAAATGAGATGAGAAACCAGGAGAAGGATCTTAATGGAAAAGAAATAGGTTTAGGAGATTATATGACTGTTTTATGAAGATGAAGAACAACGTAGAGGGATTGGCCACTACAACTTCCTAGTGGACAGAGGGTCATGGGTCGGGTTCTGTTGCTGGCAGTACTTCCACCAAGTGTAAGTGGTCAGGATTGGAAAATACTTTGGGTTTTTTGTTCTGTTTTTGGTGATACTGCAGTTTGAATTCAGGGTCTTTGCACTTGCTAGGCAGGCATTCTTGAGCCATGCCTCTAGCCTGGGAAATATTTTAAATGGAGAGGTGTGACAGCATTTGATGATGGCATGAATATGTGGTAAATGGAGTGAATGATACATCTATGCTTTTTGTTTTGTTTTGTGGGACTGGGTTTGGAACTCAGCACTTTGCACTTGGAAAACAGGGACTATAATTGCTTTTGAGTCATACCTCTAGACCATTTTATTCTGGTTGTTTTGGAGATGGGATCTTGCGAACTATTTGCCTGAGTTAGCCTCAAACTTCAATTCTCCTGATCTCAGCCTCCCAAGTAGCTAGAATTACAAAGCTGAACCACTGGTACCCAGCCCATCTGTAGGTTTTGACTTTGAACAGTGAAAAAAGATTGGGTTTGAGGAGGAGGGTAAAAATATTTTGGTCTTTTCCCACATTTAGATTTACCTTAAGTAGAGATTTAAAATTGGCAGAGAAATAGAGCAGTGGGAGGTGAGGTAATAATAGCTAGAGGAAGGAAGGTGTATGCTGGTTGACAAAGTCTTGGATAGTCATTAAGTGATATTTGAAAAGAGAACTAAATGCGAAGGGCAAGTTTTACAGGTACTAGGAAAAGCAGTGCCAGGAATGACCAAGGGTGTGGCATGTGCAAGAAGGAGGCCTGAAGAGGAGAACATGGAGCTATAGGTACAAATTTGCAGCAATAAAACATAAGACTTAAAGCCATAGGCAGGATGAGATTATAAGGTGAATGCAAGTTAAAAAAAAAAAATTGATCGTAGAACTGAGCTCTGGAACACACCAAATTTTTGAGATTAGGAAGGTGAGGATTGTCTAGCAAATGACAATAGAAAGGAACATGCTGGGAGGATGTATCTCAGGAAGGAAATGGGTTAAATGCTGTCAACACGTGGAGGAAATTAGACTGAGAATTGATGATTGATAACTTGGGAGGCCAGTGGTATGGTGAGTACAAAAGTTTGCCTAGAATGCAGTAGGGAATGGAAAGAGAAATTGTATATCCTCTGCGGAGGTTTCTGTGATGATGGTGTAGGGGTGGGGTTTTTGTAGTTTGTGTAGCTCAAAGAAATGCTGGAGGAAGATGTAGGATCAGGGCAAGATTTTTGTTTGATTTGATTTTTTATTTTTACAATGGTGAGTTCCCTTATTCTCCCTTACTCTTAGATCACCAACAAATTACTGCTAATGCCAGTAGGTGAAGAGATCAAGGTACGCATTTGCCACACACACAAACACACACACACACACACACACACACACACACTCACACTCACATCTACAACCATTTACGTGTAACTCTGTGTACATTTCCTTAGTTCTGTCTATTGTAAGGGACCAAAGACAAGGATATACCCTAATAGCATTGAGCATACCTGATCTCCAATTTTTTTTTTTTAATTGTAAATAGCATTCTCCAATAGAGACAAGCTCCTTTGGAGAAATGATTAATTTCAGAGCTGGGGCAGAGAAAATACAGCCTGGAACATCGTGTGCCAGAAAGCAAGGAAGTACTCTAAAGAATGTTGGAGACATATCAAGAGGACATGAGCCAGCTTGAAAGGGTTCCCATTGGCTAGTAATGATAGCAACAGATTATAACTCATTGAATAAAATAGAAAACCACGAGTCCATACAGATAAAAATAAGTAAACATATTGAAAAATTTGATAAGGAACAGACTTTGAAAGTCCTTTTATATATAATAGTAATTAATTACAAAGAGGAAAAGAGTAAACTTAGTGGAGAGTGTGGCAGATCCTACCTTCCCCACTTATCAAAGAGAACAATTTGTAATTGTGCAAATTAAACCATATGCCACCTAACAAGATGCAGTGAGCAGAATTTAGTGTCACTTCTGTGTTTTCCATGCTGCCAAAAATGCATAAACTAAATGTAGTTAGTCACCAGGAAACCCCAAATAACCCAAATTGTGAGATATTTTATAAAACTGGTCTGTAGTTTTTAAGTGTCAAGATCGTGAAAGCCAAGTAAAGATTGAAATGTTGCAGCCAAAAAGAAAGAAAGAAATGTGATGCATGATGCTAAATGGGTTGTGCTATAGAAGATGCTGTTTCAGACAAATGGTAAAACTTCCATGAGATCTGATGATTGTATTTTTCTATACTTCCAAATTTTCTGTAAATTTGTGATTATTTCAAAAGAAAATATATGGATGTATTGAGCATGTTTGTAATCCTTGATGGAAATAATAGGGTAAGAAGGGAAAATTACATAGTGAAGGAGAGTAGGAGGGGATAAATAGCTTAGGATCTCTCACTGGTAGAACAGAGGCATTCTTGGGTATGAACACAGACCACTTACTTCTTGTGATAGAAGAGTAAGACATAAATGCAAATGCAGATAGGTTGGTAGGCTTGATGGTGAAACAGTGCAGACATTCCCTTATTTCTCTTTTCCTAATGAAATATCAAATCCTTCCTACTGAAATTCTTCATTGGAAATATGAAGAATTTTCCTCCTGAGGAAGAGGAGGAAGGAATGTTAGTCTCAAGAAAGTTGCAGTATGTCTGTATTTTAAAGAACCAGATTATTAGTGGGTTTTTTGTTTGGTTTTAGCTCTTTGCTGTGGAAGTCATACAATAAATTAATTTTATTCCCCCAGATTAAAATAAATTTATCAAGAAAGTTTTTTTCTTTAATGTTATACTTTATTCAAAGAAATTGGAGATAAAGGCATGTTTTTTTTTTTTTTTTGTCATTCTGCAGATGAAACTCAGGGCTTCACCCATGCTTTCCATGCAGGTGCTTACCACTGTACAGCCCCATACTGTGGTCAAGATTTGGATGAGTCTTTTTAGAAACCCTTAGTGGAGGGCTAGCAGAGTGGCTCAAGTGGTAGTGCCTGCCTAGCAAGCGTGAGGCCCTAGTTCAAACCCTAGTTCTGCAAAAAAAAAAAAAAAAAAGATAATAGTAACACAAAGATCCATAATAGAAACCCTTAATGGTATTGAGGGGAAACCAATTTATAGTGCTGGTGGGTCTGAATTTGAAACAATTAAAAAACTTCTGTTGCTCAAATGTGTATCATTCCATCTCCATTTCCTTTTATGAAAGAGATCTCTGGAGAGCTGAAGATGTCAGATTTTAAATTTTTATAAAATAAAGTTACATGCTCTGGAATAAGGCAAAAGACTGACTTTTTCCTTCCTTTCCTGTCATTTGTAAAAGTCTAACAAGTAAATAGTTCACTGACACACCTGTGAGTGCCTAGCTTTCTAATGAAGCATTTTTTACTGTTAAAAACAGTACTGTTTGCTCTGTACTTCTTACACTCTGTGCCATTGCCCTCTAGGCTGGTGAGATTGGAGAGATGAAGGATGGAGTCTCTGAAGGAGCACAGCTTCAGGGACCAGTTCATCGAAATCCAACTTACCGTCCAAGATACCGTAGGTAGGTCACATTTCCCACAAGTGATGACCGTTGGAAGGACTTGTGAACAGCAGTAGAAAGGGTGAGGGTACCATGGGTCTGTTTTGTTGATTTATTATATAATTGGAAAATTTAGCTGCTTTGACCACATGCTGGAATTTTTTGAGACTTCAATATATATTTTCAGATGATGCTGTGACATGTTCCTACATGTAATAGCTAAACTTTTGAGTTATCCATGTATCGAAACATTATTTGTATTCTGCAACTTTCATGTGATATAAATTCTTTTATTTTATTTTATTTTTTTGGCGGTATTGGGGCCTTATGATTGCTAGGCAGGTGCCATACCCCCAACTCAATCCAATTAACCTGATTGGTCCATTTTTCTTTTTTCATTATAAAATTCTTTATAAATTAATTTTTTTTTAACCTTTTTTTTTTTGAGACCATCTTGCTATGTAGCCTAGACTGGCCTTGAACCTCAGCCTCCCATGTACTGGGATTACAGGCATGTGCCACCATGCCTTGCATCATACTTAATTTTTATTACTAATATAAGCAGACATTAGTTGCTGGGCATTTCAGTGGTAATGCTACTACTGGAGGAATCATGTTGCCTGTGTTTAAATTTCACTCAGCAATTTAGTAACTGTATGTCCTTGGGCAGGTTTCTGGACTCAGGTTGTGGTCACCAGGTCGTCGAACATTAAGAAATGTTCTCTACTAGCAATATGACCAAATGTACTACTGCATCTGTTGTGATGCCCTCAATAAATGTTAGATGTTATTATTGCTCCCAGTATTAACATTACTTCTGATGTTGAAGGGGTTGGTTATTTTACCTGTACTTCATCTCCAGCAAAGTCTGAATTGGGCTAGGCTCCCTGATACCTTTGGAAGATTTCAATACTGTAAGGTTGCCAGCATTAAGGGTCTTGTCAACTGACCCTTGAGGTGAGTGGCAAAGATAGAGCTTCCTGAATGGTGCTTGTGCTAGAGATTGAGTGTCCCTTATCAAAAATGCTCAGTAGCAGAAATATTTCCCATTAATTGTTTTTTCACATTTTGGAATATTTGCATAGACTTTACTATTTGAACATCATAATATGAAAATCCAAAACCTGAAATGTTCCAAAGTGGAGACTTTGAGTGTTATTTCAGCACTCAGAAAGATTGGAATTTCAGAGCATTTTGGAATTTTGGATTGGGGATGGTCAGTCAACCTGTACCTTAAAATTTATCTATATGGATTTATGGAAAGATTAAATATGTTACATTGGGGAAGAATATGTACCAGGCAACATCCTTCTTCCTCTCAAGGTTCATTCCAGCTTTTGACATAATCACTAATGATTAGTTGCTAAGCAGTTTCAAAATAAGAGTCTTTATAACTCAACTTAACAAAACAAATGGGAGATAGGAGCACATGCGAATCCAGCTTTGTCACTGCCTAGCCATGTGATCTTGGGAAAGTCATCTTTGACCTGTTTCAGTCTGTAATAAAAGCAGTACTTCTATATGGTTCAACCAAATATTTGTCATTTCTACATCTGTTGATTTTCTCACAGAATTAGCACTGAAATTAAATATTTAGTGTGAAAACATGCTAGCCCTGGCTTTGGCCCAGAGTAATGTGAATTTTCTCCCCATGTTCAATCCCCCAGTTTCTTTTAGCTTATGGTCATGGAGGGCAGATACCAGACCACTTTTCTTTTAACATTTTTCTTTTCTTAGTGCCTCTCAAAGTACCCAATAAGATCATAGTTTGTGTTCAGTGTATGTTACTTCACTACAAGTACGTATTCAAATGAAGGAGGAAAATGATGGAGAAATAAGGCCATTTTTCATCACACCTTTGTTTCATTTGTAGTATTGCCCTAGCAATAGTAGTGACCACTTGACTCAGATTGTCTCAAGTACTTGAGAATCCCTGTCTATTGCACTTACTCTCTTCTGTTTTGTGTTCCCTGCTCTAGGGGGCCTCCTCGCCCACGACCTGCCCCAGCTGTTGGTGAGGCTGAAGATAAAGAGAATCAACAAGCGGCCAGTGGTCCAAACCAGCCATCTGCTCGCCATGGATACCGGCGTCCCTACAACTATCGGCGTCGCCCCCGTCCTCCAAATGCTCCTTCACAAGATGGCAAAGAGGTAAAGCCAGCTTATCCAGAAGGGATGTTGTCAGGTCATCCTTAGTTTCTTAGGTTCAATTTTAGGTTTCTGGTTTTTTTTTTTTAATAGTAAAAGTGATAATAACATTTATTAGGAAAGGAATTTAGTGGGGAGAAATGGGGGGGAGAAGGGAGAAATATTTCTTGCTCCCCATTCAGGAAATTAGAGTAAAGACTCTTTAACTTTTTTTTTCCCTTTGGCAGTACTGGGGTTTGAAGTTGGGGCCTCATGCTGCCTATTGAGCCACATCTCCAGCCCTTTCTTGTGTTGAGTATTTTTGAGGTAGAGTCTCGTGAACTATTTGGTGGGGCTGGCTTCAAACCATGATCCTCCTTGTCTCTGCCTCCCAAGTAGTGAGGATTGTAAGCGTGAGCCACAAGCACCCAGCCTTAAAAATGGTTTTTATTACGATAACCTGACCCTTAACAAATGGAACATTTTGCTTTGGATTCACGTATAGAGTATGCCCTGCATATAACACAAATTAAAAATTTGAATTGAGCGTTAGAATTCTCTGAAAGAATTACTTATGCTAATGTGGGATTAAGAGGGAAGCATTTGGGACTCTCATGATGAGAAGGACAACACTTTACACAAGGGAAGCTGCCTTGCAGTTGTACAACAGAATTTATGGAGGGTGGTAGTATTTGGTGGCCATTTGGAAGGGACTCTGGGGCACTAATCATTGACCCCTACACAGTAACTGTTAGATGATCATTTTTCTTCACAGACAGAATTCACTTTTGAGACCTTTTAGTCTTGAACATTCCATGGTTATCTGGTGGATTCGCATGTGGTTTACTGTTTTGTTTTGTGTTTTAGATCAAGGCAGGTGAAGCACCAACCGTGAACCCTGCTCCGGCCACCGAGCAGAGCAGTGCTGACTGACCCCAGGCTCCCCAGGCACCTTCACCACCAGCAGGTACAAGCACAGCAGCTCAGTCTGGAGTTGTGTTTTCTTTTAAATATCATTGATTTCTCAACAGTAGCACAAATTACTTTAAACTAGCTTTGTGACTCATCTGTGCCAATCCCTGTGTCCATTGGAATTCTGGGGGAAGAACTATTTTGGTGGTTTGGTATCTCTGGGTTTGACCTTATTTGGGTAAGTTTTGGGGTGTAAATATGGAGACAGAGTTGATGATGGTTGACTTCCTTTCTTCTAGATGGACAGCTTTTAAGTATTAGTACACTTTGGAAAATTGCACCTAGTAGCCAATTTGAATTTTTTTTCCCCCCAGACAGGGTCTCCCTATGGGGCCCAGGCTAGTCTTGAACTTGTGATCCTCCTGCTTTAGCCTCCCAAGTACTAGATTATACACATTTGCTACCCTGCTTGCTGCAATTTGGTAATTTTAACGTTCTTGACAAGGGCTTGGTTTTAATAACAGGAGACTGTTATCTCTAGAATAAACTAGAATGTGGTCTGATGGAGTGGCTTAAGCAGTAAGAGCGCCTGCCTAGCAAGCATGAAGCCCTGAGTTCAAACCCCAGTGCTGAAAAAAAAAAAAAAAAACTGAACCAATATAAACTAGAATGTTTTTTCTCTTCCTTTTTCTTTGATAACCATTATTCATTTTGAGAAGTGAAGGGTAATATGTAAGATCCAAGGGATTTATTTATATATATCTAGTGCAGGCTCTGTAGCAGCTGTTTGCCAGGTGATCTTGAATTGAGCTGTTTATTGTCTGCCTTATTAATGTTCACTGTTGGTGAGATGGAGAACTAACTATACTTAACTAGAATTGTCCCAAGGTTAAATTGAAATAAAACATATGAATGGGGCAGGGTAAGGAATAATCTCTCAGTAAAGGTTAGCTTATTATTTTCATCACTGTCTTATTAAAGATCTTGGAAATTTTATTTATGGAGGTAGAAGTATAGGTAGGAAGATGTCTTCAACCCATTTACAGGCCTAGTCTTAAAATGGTTTAAGAATTATGAAAAGTCTGCTGTGATTTTGATGGGTTTACCTTTGTATGTTACTTGTTTTTTCTCTCTTACAGCCTTCAATATTCTTTCCTTAGTTTCTGAACTTGTTGTTTTAATGATGATATGTCGTGGAGTAGTTCTATTTTGATCTGGTCTGTTTGGTGTCCTGGAGGCCTCTTGCATCTGTATGGGAATATCTTTCTCTAGATTTGGGAAATTTTCCGTTATTATTTTGTTGAATATATTACGCATTCCCTTCGCTTGCACCTCTTCTCCTTCTTCGATGCCCATGATTCTCAAGTTTGGTCTTTTCAATGCCCTGTATAGCTATCCTTATCTCAACCAGCAAAAACCCTTGTTCCTTCCTATTATTGCTTATACTCTCTCTACAACAAAATTAGAAATAAGGGCAAAATAGTTTCTGCTGGGTATTGAGGAGTGGGGGAGAGGGAGGGGGCGGAGAGGGTGGTAAGGGAGGGGGTGGGGGCAGGGGGGAGAAATGAACCAAGCCTTGTATGCACATATGAATAATAAAAGAAAAATGAAAAAAAAAAAGAATTATGAAAGATCAGATAGCTTATTCATTAACTCTCAGTTATTCAGTGATTATTCATAAGTTTGTCACTATTTAAAGTTTGATTTATTTTTTTCCAGGTGACCTAAAGAATTAATGACCATTCAAAAATAAAGCAAAAAGCACACCCACAACCTTACCAACACCAAAGAAACATCTAAGCAATAAAGTGGACGACTAACCAAGATTTGGACATTAGATTGTTTACTATTCCTTTTTTGAGAAACTAACAGCTGCAGAAGGAAAGTGTCAGCAAGTTTTTCCAGCAAGTTGCAATCCAGGAACACCTGCACAGAGCATGAGAGAGCATCCTCCCCAGGTTCAGCAGCCACGAGGTTTATATTTTTTTCCTGGTTTTTACTGTTTTGGTAATAAGAATTGAAAGAAGAAATATTAATACCACATGGGGAGAACCCCAACCAAAGAAATCTGAAATATATAGTAAATGCATTTTTTTTCCTTTTTTGTTCATTTTGGATGCTGGTGCTAAACTTCCAAGTGTCATGATTTAAAAAGATATTTTATGCCCTTCTTATTTATTTCTAGAATGAGGGGAGAATAAAATTTTTGATGTCTTATGTGACTCTTTGAAAATGTGCAGTGAGAAGTTCCTCAAATAAAATTGTTACCCTTCAAAGGAAAAGTTGTCTTCTACCTGGAGTCTGTTTTCCCATCTTTCCCCTACTTCAGTCACTTGATTAATAGTAAATTCAGTGCCAAATTTAAAAGGGAATTAGTGCTATTTAGTAAATTTAGTCATGAGTTTGAGAGCATAGAAAGTGGGATATCCTTTGAAATGTGCAGCTGGGAATTAACAGGTTTATGTCTGAGTTGGGTAGTAGGCATGAGTTGTTTATATCTCTTGAGTAGTCTTCATTGAGGCAGGTTGTGGGCTTTTGGATTAACAGTGTCAGATTCATTGTTAAATTCCTATAAATTAATGAAGTAGTAGTAGTATAACTCCTTGAGCTTCAAACCTGAGATTTGTAACACCAAACTGTTAAGTTGTATGCTTACAGTTGTCCTTAGTTTTCCACTGGGGACTGGGATCCATGATTCTCCACTTCCACTTCACTTCCCCATCCTGGATACTGTAACCCGCAATGCTCAAGTCCCTCACATAAAATGGCATAGATTCCTTTGGTATACTGTAAATCATATCTAGATTGCTTATAAATACCTGAGACAAAGTAAATGATGGGAGATAGTTGTTACACTGCATTAGTGAGGTGACAATGACACGAAATTTGCCCTGAATGTTTTTGGTCTGCAGTTGGTTGAATTTCAGGGCCTCACACTTGCTAGGCAGGAGCTGTTGCTTGAGCCACTCCACCAGCCCTTTGTTGTGAGGATTTTTTTTAAGATGGGTCTCACAAACTATTTGCCTGAGGCTGGTTTCAAACCCCGATGCTCTTGATCTCTGCCTCCTCAGTAGCTAGGATTACAGGCGTGAGCCACCAGCACCCAACTGTATGTGTGTCTTTCAGAGAAGAGGTGGGGGGAGCTCTTTCAACACTAAAACTTTACAAATTTCTGTGCTTGGGAGATGGAGCCTTCAAGTTGAGAAACACTACAATATATTTCCCCAAATTATCCCATGGAAGTATATATATATCCCTGTATATGATCCCATGGAATCCTGAGGTGAGGGAGATCATCCCAGGGCTTTGAACATGCTAGGCAAATGCTCTACCACTGGACTAGAAGAAAGAATATGCCAGGTAGAGTGAGCAGGCTTAAGAGATGCTTAAGATAGCAAGTTTAAGAAATGGCAAGCAGGTTAGAGTAGATTGTTCAAGAACCTCATATTCTGTTAAAAATATTATTCTTAAAAAACTGGCAGTTCGCATAAGGCCAAAAGCAAGGTATAAAAATGTACTCTGAAAAATGCTTACCGTCTCAGATCCAATTCCCTCCAGAAAACCAGTTGTTTCTTAAAGTAAACCCAGTTTAAATAGTGTGTGTGCGTGTGTGTGTGTGTGTGTGTGTGTGTGTGTGTGTATTTGACAAACTAATGCAAATTCTGGGAGAAGGAGTTCAATTTGCTTCAATGACTTAAAACAATACCTGTTTTTAATCGTGTGCAGTAATTCAACTGTATTATCCAGCCAGTCTTTTCTAAATTCTCTGTTCCTACTTGTTTTTAAATAATTTTAGAGTGGAGTATTTAAAACATAAAAGATATTTTGACAACTTATCACACACTTTTTGGCGCTGTAATTTTATTTCTCACCTAAAGTTTTTTCTATTCTCAGCCTGTGTGCAGTCCTCTCATCCTTTGTATTGAGTGTTAAAAATTCCATCGTATAGCTATGCATAGTTGTGCCAGTCTACTATTGAATACTGAGAGCTCTTTAAAATTGCAATTGCAAACACTTTATCTCATATAATTCCAACATCCTTCCACTAAATACCTTCTATGTGTTTCAGGATTGTAGCTATTTCTAAAGAAAGATAAAAAAGCTAAACTTTGGCTGTGGTATAATCCTAAAACCCTAGTTTTAGGTACACATATTGAATGTGTGAGGATGGTCCTAAAAAACTATAGTGGGGAACCAAGATTCAAATTGCTTCATTATGAATCAGAGCTCCCTGGGTGGGAACAAAGCGAGAGATTACCTACTGGGCTCTGTCATTCTAACCAGGCCTCAGCTTGGTTGGTACAGTGGTTTGAAGCTCAGGATTTATGCATATTTGATGGCACAGCACCTGTTAAAAAGTAACCCCACACAATTCAATATATTTGAGTTCCTACTATGCAAGAATGGTGCCATGTGCTTTCATTTCAAAGAATTTCAATCCTCATAGTATTACAAGGTTATCTTGTGTTATTGCAAAGATGCAGTTGTTGAAAGTTCTTTTGCTCTTAGTGGAGTGGAGTAGATGAGTAAAGATTTTTTTTTTCTTGGCAGGACTGGGGTTTGAACTCAGGGGCTACACCTTGAGCCACCCCACCAGCCCCCTTTTTTGTGATAGGTTTTTCAAGATGGGGGTCTCATGAACTATTTGCCTGGGCTGATGTTGAACCTCAGTCTTTCTGATCTCTGCCTCCTGAGTAGCTGGGGTTATAGGCATGAGCCACTGGTGCCTGGTTTAAGATTCTTGAAGTAATAGAATTTGAATAAATTGAAGCTTCTGGGAGTTAGCACTTGGTTTTAGTTAAAAAAGGAAAATAAAAATATAATTTCTTATTCTCATGGAAGTGATTTTTTTATATTATAACATAAATGTTTAGTTTAAAAAACTTCTAGAAACAGGGCTGGGGACATGGTTCAAGTGGCAGAGCACGTACCTATCAAGTACAAGGCCCTGAGCCAAAAAACAAGAATAAAAAATTCAAACCAATAACTCTAGAAACTAGCTGATATAAATCTGTGAAAATTAAATGAGCTTGTTAGTACCAGTGATAAGAATTCACCAGCTTTCTGACTTTCCCAAAAATGTTATGTGAAAACATTTTGTCTGCTGAGCTAGCTCCAGAATCACCCAGATTTTCAGAATAGGGATGGGAAGTTATAACAAATCCATGCTGGTCCCATGACATAGAGTGCTTGGTTTGCAGATCCTCCCTATACCTGTGCTGGACAGTATTCTAGTAAAAGGCTTATTGAGTGCAATTTGTGATATAAAAGACTGGAATTCACCACATTGTGTTTACCATAGTCTCAGCCTTTCATGAATGATCTCATTGTTTAATTCATAAAGATCTCACACACACGTGGTTCTGGGCAACTTTTGTGCCTACTACACGAATGGTGCAATTGGTGAAAAGTGATCAGTGGAGAACAGAATGTCTTGAGCAAAAAAAAAAATAGGTGTATTTTCTGTTCATGTTTGTGTGTCATTCTTACGAAATTGCTAAACTCTTTACCAGAGTTGCTGCTCGGTACTGAATTGTGTCCTCCTAGGAGATTATTTAAATGAAGCCATTAGGGTGGGGTGTAATCTAACATGACTGGTGTCTTTATAAGAAGAAACATTAAGGGCACATGTACACAAGAATGTTGACCTTATGAAAAGAGGAGCCATTAGCAAGCCTGGAGAAGATCCCTCAGGAAACCAGAACTGTCCACACCTTGTTTGCAGACTTCCAGCCTCCAGAACTATGAGGAAATAAATTTCTGTTGTTTAATACTAATCTGGTATTTTGTTACAGCAATATCAGAAAACTAACAAAGCAATTATATCATCTCACGTTCTCAGCCAGCAATGTATAGAGGAACAGTTGCTCCACATTTCTGTCAGCACTTGGTATTGTCATATTCCTTTATTTTAAAAAAAATTCTTATATTTCTGTGGTGATATTTATTGGTTTTTTGTTGTTTTGGTTGGATTGGGGTTTGAACACAGGGCTTCATGCTTGCAAAGCAAGTGCTCTATTGCTCAAGTCACACCTAGTCTATTTTGCTCTGGCTATTTTGGAGATGGGGTCTTGAGAACTATTTTCCCAGGCTGGTCTCAAACCGTAATCCTCCCAATTTTAGCCTCCCAAGTAACTAGGATTACCAGCTTTAGTTTGCATTTCCCCAGTGGCTAATGATATTGAATAAATATATTTTTAGGTGTGTACTTGTTATACAGATATCATCTTGGATGAAATGTCTTCATATCACTCAGATCTTGTTATATTTTATCAGTTTTCTGTTTGAATTTTTCTTTTCTCTGTCTTTTTTTTCTACTGTTTGGGTTACAGGAGTTTTTCATGTAATCTGGTATGAGTCCTTTGTCAAATGTGTGGTTTGTAAATATTTTTCTCTTGGTTTGTTAAATGAATAATTAACACTGTCTTTGTGCAGCAAAAGTTTTTAATTTTCACAAAATCCAATTTATTGAATTTTCTGTTTTATGGATTGAGTTTTTGGTGTGATGTTTAAGAGCTCTTTACATAGCCTAGCTCTTAAAGATTTTCTTCTTTGTTCTTGAGATAATTTTTGTGTCAGATGTGAAATTTAGGATGTTCCAGTTTTTGCCTATGGATGTCCAGTTCTTACACCATTTGTTGAAAGTACTATTTTAATTGAATTTTTTTAATACCTTTGCTAAAACCAAGCTTACTGTACTTGGGTGAAACAATTGCTCCATTAGTAGAGTTTGTCCATCTGCCAATAACACATT